CCCCGCGCAAGAGAGAGGATGTATGCTCTAATAGTTTAGGGGAGATGAGTAGTTTGAAAGTAGGGATAAGTTTCAGGGGCGTTGCAAGGATGGAAATAATAAAGCTTTAATTCAGGTTCCTGGAGTGCACATTTCTGCATGCCGGATGTGACAGAACTTGACTTTTTTCTAAAACTACAAAGGAAATTTAGAAACACATTACGTGTCCTGTTAGAATTGTTTTATAATGTATAGTTTGTGAAATATTCAAGGTTAATTTCTGTGTTAAAAAATGTAAAGTTTCGTCGATCCATGGGTCAACGAAAATGACCGATTTTCGACATTTAACGGGTTTTATTAGAAAAACACGGACTAAGCACAACATTTTATGAGAAATTCATTGGTGATATTGATTTTTCGATTAGAAACTTAGTTTTTAAGAAAATCGCCAAAGTATCGCCATTAGAGTCAATTTCTTCCTTGTAACTGTAGAATATTTCCATCTCATGCTCGTTCTGATTTTTGGAGAAACTTCATTTAAGATTGAGATGAAAGTTCAATTAATATAATACTCCGTGTGCCATTTGAAATAATAAATTTCAGGGCTTGCAAGATGCGAAAATACAAAGCTTTAATTTCAGGTTCCTGGAGGCCACATTTCTCATCCGGATATGAGAAACTTGACTTTTTCTAAAACTACAAGAATTTAGAAACACATACGTGTCTGTAGAATTGTTTTATAATGTATAGTTTGTGAAATATTCAAGTTTAATTTCTGTGTTAAAAAATGTAAAGTTTCGTCGATCGACGTTTTCGTCGATCGACGAAAATGACCGATTTTCGACATGTAACGGATTTTTTTGAAAACTATGGACCTAGCACGAACATTTATGGCAAGTTCACTGGTGATATTCATTTTTCGTTTAGAATCTTTGTTTTATAGAAAGTAGCAAAAAAAACGTAATCGTTAATTTCTGCCCAAAAACAGGTTCGAAACGTTTCTTTTTAAGCCGGTTGTGTTAAAATGAGAAACCTCATTTAAGACTCAAATTAAATAGTGAGTGACATACAATTTTTTGTTTGATTTCCAACGCTGTAGTTTGAATAGTTTAGGAGATAGAAGCTTTTTGAATTTGACTATCATTTTGTGAGCTTTCATGTTGCAAAATTAAAGTCTTTATATTTAAGATTTATAGAGGCCGCATTTCTTATCTGTATATGACAAATGGGGACATTTTCTGAAACTGCAAGTATTTAGAAACACAACTTTTTCTACAGAAGTGTTTTTTATATTAAAATCTCCGATCTCACCGCCTCCAGTCTGTCCGCTCCAACTGTTTCATTGGGCCATATCGCCATCGTTTCCTTTGCCCCTGCCGTATCCGCCTCCAGTTCCCCCGCTACTACCGTCCCATTCTCCGCCATCTTCAATATCTTTAATCAAGTATTCAACCTCCGACTCAGATACAATATTCTTAAGCCAACATTTCCGTTTTTGACTCCATTACCACTGCCTCACCGTCGTCTTTGCTACTGCCTTCTCCATCTTCTTCACCATCGCCTCCAACACCGCTTCTATAACCGTCTCCACGTCCAGCAAAACTCTCCCCACTGCCCACGCCGTCGCTTCCACCGCTTCTGCCATCATTGCCTGCACCACCGCCTTCACTTTCTATACAGTCCCTTTGGCTTCTCCTTCGTCGCCTTCACTGCCCTCATCGCCTCTCCCGTCGACTCAGATACGACTTCTGTCACCATCATCGCCTTTACCATCACCACCTCTTCTAACACAAAGTCCACCGCCACCTTTACCGCTCCGCCTCCACGCCGCTTCTTCATCGCTGCCCCCACCGCTGCCGTCCCTCGATCTTCCCTGCCGCCCGATCCGTGCCCGTCCTCCAGGCTGAGCGCAAAGTCGAGCACGTGCTTCGAATCCCGAGGCTTGTCATCGGCTATTCGTTTGCGCATAAATCACATCCAGTCCTCCTCTCTTCTGGCTGCTCGTATCGGCAGTGATGGGCTAATGAGCGATGGCTGAAAGATTCATTTCAGATGGCGAATTAATAGGGCGTTGACTAATAATTAGTACACCTGCACCGAAAAATATCTGCGGAAATGTACAGAGGAATTATTTAATAAGTCATATCTGCAAGTTCTGTGTTATGCTTGTCGTAAGCCAATTAGCATGAAAAAAAGGATGATCGAAATGCAGACAGTGATTTAAGCTACTGTGAAAGCTAAGCTTTCTATGTAAAAATCTAAGTCAATTCCAGGGAGTTCATTTAATCGTAAGGATACTGAAACAATTCAAATTATAACTTGTTCCTAAAAGTTGTCAGCAAACATTCCCGCATTTCATGTATGAAATCCAATCACCCGTTTCTTGGGCAAAGGGAATATTATTAGAAGGAGCACAGCGGCCTTCAATATTTTTAAATCAAATTCATAAATATGAAAAAATAATTAGTTCTTTCTATGTAAAGGTTTTAGTCTGTTTTCATATTTGTGTTCATCATGTGCGCATATTTCAGTATAATTATTTTCATGGTTTAGTCTTATTTATATCCCAAATCATCCTGAACCTGCTTTAAAAGCAAACCACCCAGCCATAGGCTGTTGTTCCCAGAAAGCTTTTCTAACCTAATTATTAAATCGTTTGCCATTCCTCATGTGATCGGATGTTACGATAATTATGTTTTTATATATGTATGTACTTGACATTTTATATGTATTTGGCATTAATAGATCTGCAATATGTATTTGGCATTAGAATCAATTCTGTTTGCTATCAGATAGCCGTGTTCCCAGGCGTAAGCCATGCTTATATGTATTACCTGAGGAGACATGCGGCGGGCATGACGTATTCTAAACACTGTACTTAGCTTTCTTGGTCTGTCTGAGATATTTCTTTCATCAGACAGCTATAGAAACTAAGGCGATTTTAATGGAAAGCTACAGCCTTATTTTCTTCCAACCGGAAATCAAACCAAGGATCGCACCACGCAAGGCTAGCACACTGTCCTTGAGCCGCACACGAGGCCTATGTTTTTATATATCAGTGGTATACGTTTTTATCTCCAAGCTTTCGTTTTTAAATTCAGAATTTATTTCCGGTGTCTCGTCTTTCTTTACTTTTCTTCCACAGCCTGTGGCAGAGTTGCGGTTCCCGCACTTCTTTCAGCTACCGTATAAAATCGTATTTTAAAGCGATATTAAGCAGCGAAATGAAACCTTGGCACTCGTTACTTTAATTCCAAAACGTAATTTCAAATTTAAAAAAAAATGTTTAAATGTAATACTTTTTGAAGAATATGAATGTGCATTAAAAAAGTTTTCTCCTTTTTCCCACGATACAACGATGTGAAAATCAGTTAAGAACCACGTTTCACTGAAAGATGAGTGCTGTGGAGTAGCAGTGCTTAATCGAGTTTGCGGATTAGTTGAGGATTCCTCAGAAGATATGTCTTCCAATGAGCTCCGTGACCCGATGGTTTGGAGAGCACTGCTCTTCTTACTTTGTCTTCTTCAAAATGTGTACACGGAGGAATCAGCTGGACAAAATACGCTCTCAGCGGTTCGTCATGTAGATTTTGTAAACGTCTCTGCTCTATGAATAAATGTTACAAATTTGTAGGAAACGTAGGGAAGGTCGAAGATGGACATTTATTGAAAATGAACATTTGGTGGAAAATTTCACTTAACGAAGTAGTCATTTGACATTTGCTATTGATTGGTTCTAAGTGTTCTAAGATCTGATTGCTTCTAAGAATAAATTTTACAATCTTGTAGAGCATGTACGTAGTGGAAGATGAACATTTATTAAGAGTAAAAATTGGGTTCGAGACATTTGTTACTGAATGGGAACGTGAATTGTTTTAATTACTTCTACGTTTAGTTTTTTATTATACATATATATATATATATATATATATATATATATATATAATTTAATTTTGGCTTACAGGTCATTCCGAGATACGAAGGAGTTTTATTTTTATTCGTAGTTTGACTCTACCGTGTCTACTCAACCTCGTGTCATAATAAACAACATATACGTACGGAAATATTTGATATAAAAATAAGAACATAGTCATGTAATTTAGTGTGAAAATAATGTTTCACGAAAGGGCATTTAATTTCCATAAATGTGTTTTTGTAATCATTGACTAGGAATGACATACACAATAACTCTTGACTAGGAATGGCATAACAATTGGTAACAACTCAAATCTGAGGAGATCATACCATAATCTTAAGATCTTATTAATGTAATAAATTTGTTAATATTTTTGTGTACCATTCTGTAATATTTGTACTTATAGTATGTGATTTTCATATCAATTGTAAATAATTATTTGCTTCAAATCTTGTTAATACTTTGTAAAAACAATGGGGTGGCTCATGACCATGTAGTTTATGCGACCATAATAAATAAAGCAAAAAAAATTGAGGAGGATCTCGATATTTGATTTAAATCAATACGACTCCATCAAACACTCACTCCACTCTGGTACGCATCTAACATCATACAAAAGTTTTCAAAAATTCCCTCCGTACACGAAGAAATAATACAACTCCGCATCAAGCACAAAGCCTACCCAGAACCACCATCGACACGCCCTGGCCATCAATCTTCTGGTTAATAGTGAAAACCTTAAACGACTCTAGAGACATCACATACAGACTTGCCATTCCGATGTCATTCAAACTATTTATGTAAGAGATACTCTGTACAATGTTTAATGTTCTTATGCTCATTATCAAGAACCAATTTACCGAAAGATTAAATTAAAAAAAGCAGATTGTAATTGAGCAGTAAATTAAACGTAAATAAATAAGCACAAAAATGAAACTAATAATAAACTAGTTAATATAAAGAAAAAAACACATATTATTTTCAGCATACACAAGTAACAACTTCATTTATCATTAAAAACACCAAAATATGGAAAATAAAAGTAGGATTTTTCAACGCTTCTCATTGTGAAACATAAAGATGATGCAAGTTAGTATCGATATCAGCTAATTATATTAATTTGTTTTACATAGAAATCCTTTCCCTTCTTGACAGTTTTCGATCTATATCTCTGAACAAGTGCAGGTGAATTTTTGAAAATATTAACAACAAATATTAGTGTAAAATTAAATGAATTTATTTATTCATCGTAAGGAATAAAGGAGTTATGAACGTTTGACGAAGGAGTGTCGTATTTCCCCAACAATTTTCGAAAGAAGAATATTTGTATTCCATTGGCTGTGCAACGTGGACGAGTGGCTACATCGGCAGGGTTGGTGACGGCAGGGGAACGCCAAAACGGGGCCCACACCAGACAGATCACGAGTCGGGTGACAGCGGGGGGAACAGTGATTTTGTCTTATCGACCAACAGCCTCAAACTATTGTGCAAACATGGCGCTGAAGAACCGGATTAGGTGGCTCAGAGCATCAATTAATGTCAGTATAATGCCACTGGCTTGGATAGCTAGGTCGATTTCAGTTGTTGTTTTGAAGAAAACTCTAGCGGTCAGACATTCTGATCGGTAGTTTTCAGTGGTCTCACCGATCAACATCAAAAGAATACCGGATCAGTACCGTAAAAAAGTGGGCCAGAGAAAACGCAAGAACTCTTCGTTCTCTTCCTTTCCTCATCCCAGTTTTTCCACTGTCTTACACTCACATGTCATACATGTAAGGAAACCAGTTGCATGTTTAGAGCTTGTCTCGGTTGGTGCCACGCTCCGCTGTAGTGGGATTACCTTGTTGAAAAATCCAGCAAGCAGACTTGTGGGCCGGGCCGGATCTCGTCATCGAGAAGGGGAAGATCACCGCCACCTTCCAAGCAAAATATGCATTGCACTTACGGGACTAATGACCATATCAGTTGACGCGCCCTAAGCAGTTGAATAACTAATCAATCAATCAATCAATCAATGAACGAGTGCCACGAAGACAGCATGGAGCTGCACTTCACACTGGAATGTTTCACTTCGAAGCAAGAAATGATACAGACAATGGGGATTATACACCTACAATACTTTAAAAAGAATACGCAAAGTGTTTTGTATTCTTACGGTGTTATACTCCGTTTAGTAATGCGCAATACGTAAAAATTGATTGATTTTCTCATTTATTAGTTTGATTGTCTCATTTTTCTAAATATCATTTTGGCAATATAATTATGTTGTTTGATTACGGATAAGTTAATTAATGAAGGTTTTTTATAGATGTAATTAAAAATGAATTTTTAATTAAAAATATGTTATATTAAAACGCCAGTGTTTTAGATACAGCAATATTTGTGAGGAGCAGAGTTGATTCACTCGTATTGTTAGAAACTTCACAGAGCAATTACTGCGCCAAACAAAGTTAAGTAACGAAACTGAAAATTGTTTTATACGGATCAAACAAATCCACACTGTGGAAAAGCAAACTGAAGTTCAGACTGTAGTGTATACTGTCAGGTTCTAGTTTCTCAAAGGTTTAAATTAGTCTTGTGCACACGGACGCGCTACGAGCATCTTCAGAGAGTATGAAGCGGTTGGTTTCTCAGAAGAGAAACAAAACGAAAGAAGTAAAATCGGGTGGGCAGACTCCAATTTACACCACGGTTATCTCAGAAAGCTTGGGAACTATTTTCGATGGTAATGAGTGTCGGGTGAGAAATCCTATGAAAAAAAAATCCAGTATCTGGCGTGCGATCCGCTACCCACAATTACTTCTCTTTTATTCCTCTGATCAAGCCAATTTCCTTCTCGTCGAAGTCTCTTTGGACGAGAATTGCTTTACTAGTGAGGAACGGGCTATAGTTTCCCGGGCTGAAGAAAAACTAATTTTTGGAGGGTTTTAAAACCTTAACAGAGGTAAATTTTCAACTGCCTTTTCCGAAAAGCATACAATGTTATGATTTTATTTTCATTGACGATAATCAAAGCTAACTTTATAAGGAAACAAAAAAAATTAAAAACATTTCTATCGACATTTTTCACGGAACATCTTATGTTCAAGGATGGACGAGCTACGCTTCTGCATTACGCCTCTTTACTAATCTTACGTAGTGTTAGGAAATAGTGTGGTATTTATGGCGTCGACATTATTATACAAGTAATTATGAGGCGTTGTTTCGTCATGAGTGTTTATGCAAAAATAAATAAAATAACACTTCATAATAACTTCTATAAAAGTTTTTTGTAGATATTTTTCATGTTGATGATGAGATTTGATTGACGACACCGGTATTTTGACGTGTAAAAACTATTTAGATATCAATCTAGAAAATACCGTTCTGTGAACTGACTAGTTTGTGCGCTGAATGCTGCTGAACAGTGGTGAAAAGTGTTGAGAACAGGCGAAATGTAAGGTAAACGCAGTAGTATGTCGGGGGATGTTATGATCCATAAAACGGACAATGTTATCATTACGTGGAATTTCCTGTGTGCAGGGAGCTCCGAGAACAGCGACACCGACGCTGATATTCTGCACCGCCAACCAATCAGCTTTCGCAGGCGCATGCCTGCAGGGAAACAGCGCGGGCGAAGAGCGCGCAGCTCGCAGATCACGAAGCCTGCGCGCTCGAGTTGCAATTACAGCCACACAAACATTTTATTCAGCACGTCTCCAACCCCTCCTAATTATTACATATTGCTAAAAAAATATATATCTCCTCTCACGAAATGAATACTCCAAAATAAAAAGCATCCGGTCATGACAAGGTAACAATATTTTCAAATGTCTTCTCTAAAACACGATCGCTATGCCCACCAACAAGTACACTAATTCATCTCTAACAATAATATATAATCCCTCTACCAGATGCGCTTTTTAATCCTCTCTATTCTCAAATGGAACAAACACTTCTATAAACATTTAGGTCCGGCAGTCTCCTTTCTTCATTAGTAAAAATCTTTGAAAAGCGAATCCTAGCAACAATAAGTGAAGACGTTAACAAAACTTATTCCACATTATAATTTGTATGGTAAGCCCATCACTTTATTGACTTGTAGTTAATATGAAACAATTTGTCATGAATCCGTCATTATTGTCCTGAATTGTCGTGAATTATGAAGTTGAATTTATCTCTCTTCGAAGGTGCCAATATATTTTATTAAACCTATTGAATCTAAAAGTAAGTCTCGATAAGATACATTCCGCTTACATAATATGACTCATATTCCTCTGGAGAATGAACATATAATTATCACATAGTAAATTCTCAAGACTTTGGTGAATCAGGGATGAAATACATAGTTAAGAAAAATGGCACACATTTTTTGGGTAATAAACATTTATTGGCTTAGATTGATAAGTCAATAAATTTGTCAACAGAAATGTTTTTACTGCAACGTTTTCTTCGACAAAAGAGAGATTCATTTAATCTAAAACTGAGTCTGATGTTCGTGATTTAAAATTACAATAAATAAATGGCAATAAAAATAGAGCGTTTTGTAACTAGTTTACGCTGTAGTTTCTTGCATGAGGGGATGTTTCGCGAAAGCCAATTCTATTCTGTTTGCAAATATTTTTAAAAAAATGTACGAAACATAATTGTACGCCAGTGATTGTTACACACAAAATAAGACTACCACAGTTTCGCTCATCATTCTTGGACAAAGGATCTCCCATTGCCTCCCTTTGCCATTGTCTTTCACTATATGATACAGGATAAGGTGACCATGAAACATAAATGATATCATGAGAGGTGAATCTCCTAAGTAAAAGATAGTTATCTGATTTTTAGTGAATATTACTGGGGTAAAAATACGTTTTGCTACTAATTTATGTAGAGGTTTATGTCGGATATTTCACAAACTCGCACTTCAATTCGATCAGTAGGTAGTACGACTTAATGGTAGGCGAAAATACCTGAAA